CACTGAGCTGCCAAAACGAATCGGTGCACAAGAGAACTTATATAGGCTATTTCCAGATAAATATTTCTCAGGGTAAAGACCAAATAAAAACAATAAAAATGATAAAACTACGGAGCCAAGAAGAACACGTCCGAGTGCCGTGCTGACCGCTGTGCCATGCTAACGAAGTGTGGATAGTTTTAGAAGCCGTGCTTCGTGCTTCATGTTTGACCGAGGTGTCTGGAAACCCCGGTCAAACACTCGCACTTGTTTTTGATATATTACATGAAGCATTTTGATTAATCTGCATCGTAGGCTTTTACACCTTTTGCTGTTCATTACCAGAAAATATACTTTTATTTATGTCAAAAGTTATATAAATAACGTAAATAAGTTTTTCACTAACTCTAGAATAAATTTCATTAGTGTTGATCGAACTTTCAATTAGGATATCTGAATATGTATTGATATTCAATAACGTTAACTGACAAACAAATGCGCGCTCAGACATTTTGAGCGGGAACTTTATAGTCATTTGACCGCCACCCAGTTAGCCCAATGGATAGTGCGCTGGACTGTTGTGCGGGAGGTCGAGGATTCAAGTCCCGGCCGGACCAACACTCAAGGTTTTAAAGTAAATGAGAAGAATTTTCTACTTTTCTATAACATCAAGAAATGGTTAGATATTCTAGTCTTCTCGGATAGGGACGAATAAACGGAGGTCCCGTCTCCTGCAGGGTTGGGGAAGGAGACGTTAATTTCCCACACACGAGATTACTGTGTGATGGATGTCCTCCCCTGGGGTGGGATGGGTGGGTACAAAAGGGGTTAGGTGTCAATTCGGACGAAAGTTCTGTTCCTTTCTCCTGCCATTCCCGTGGCGAATGAATTAAATTCTAAAAAAATTCTAAAATTTACATCAAAATATACTTCAATAAGACCAACCAACAAACAATTGCATTTATTGACAAGCATTCATAAAGAATAGAAAATTCATTTGCGCAATTATCATTGACAATGACAATCTATTGTGCGAATACAAAAGCATTAGCATGAATGTAACATTCTCTTGGGTGACACTAAAACGACATTTATCCTTCTATTACTTCTCTATTGATACAACGTGGCAAATCTGTTTGCATGAAGTGAAACCATTGCGCACATTTTGCTACAGTAATGGTTCCATCGTTACGTTGAAGTGCTTCCACAATAACTGCGTCCGGTAATGGCCAGGTGGAATACCTTTTCGTCTTGCTTCATCCCTGTTGTTCATTTCCCTCTTTCTCCCGAGATACAGTCTGAGCGCGCATTTCTTTGTCAGTTAACGTTATTGAATACAATATATATTCAAATATCCTAATTAAAAGCTCGATCAACACTAATGAAATGTACTCTAGAATTAATGAAAAACTTACTTACGTTATTGATATTTGTAGGGCGAGTGATACTAGAAAATTGGAACGTATTCAAGAAAGGGCACTTAGGGCAGTTTACTGTGATAAGGGGAGTAGTTATGATAAATTATTAGACATGGCTAACCTAAGTACACTGCAGAACAGAAGACTACAGGATATAGCCATTCTTATGTATAAGGTAAAGAACAATTTATCTCCTAATTACATATGTAGCCTTTTTCAAATTCCACAACTTAGGTACACACTGCGTAATAATGATTTTGGTATACCTAGATTTAATACTGTCACTTTTGGAAAACATTCGCTTAGATATATGGGACCCAAAATATGGGCAATTGTACCAAGAAATGTAAGAGAACTGACATCCATATCATCTTTTAAATGTAACATACGTAGAATAGACCTTGTTTCTAAATTGACTGATAGTAAATGTGAAAACTGCCTTTTATGTAAGACTTAGGTTAGATTTTAAATTGTACATATATATTGTTTTATTTTTAAATTTCTNNNNGTATTCTGCCCCATGTAAATAGGAACATGAATAAAAAATAAAAAAGCCAAACGTCTAGAAAGGAAATAGAAATTAGGGCACAAAAATATGGAGAATGCATTACATGTCAGAATAGTTTCAATATTGACTTCAAAGGCACGCCATACTGGGGTATTACTTCTTCAAACAACCAAAGGATAATGTTGTAACTTACCTAAGTTACATCTAACACTCATTTTACACGTCAATCCTGAGCCGGACGATTATTTCTCAGAATGAAGGTTGAAAATGCGAACAATTTTCGATTATATTTAATTTGCATTTGATAACTTATAAATAGCTAAGCGGCAAACTAAAGAGCCTTGGGCTTATGACATTCTGTCTCTGCTCGCCAATAATACAATTAAAACAGATCATATAAAAAGGGAAAAGTACATTTGGTTAGTTATCTGCCTCTATGAAACAGCCTTGCTTTGTTCCATTTGCAAGAAGTTAAAATTGTACGAATAATTTTGATGGTTCATAGCTCAGATAGCATTATTTGCCAGCGAAAATAAGTAATTAGTTATTGACGATAGAATAAATTGCCTACCTAATATGCTTCCTTGTTTTGATATCAAGGGTACAGTTTGAAAATTTGCCGAGAGAATCAAACTGGCAGCCAACTCAGTACATCTAAACTTCAATCATAACACAACAAGAATACTTTTTAGCTCGAAAGGGGCCGGGTAAAGAATCTACGGACCTGTAAATTGCCGCAGACCTTCATAAAGACTTTTTAGCCAATTAATCTAAGTCATTCAAAACATGAACTACAAAGGATAGTTCAAAGTGCGACGAACTAAGCTAGGAATTGTTTCACTATGGTAAGTTTAGAAGCCAATAGAATGAAGCATTTAAATGATGATTTCCATTCAAATACCAGGTGCTCACATTCATCGAGCTATTCAAACGCTTTCGTTAGTTTCAAATTGAGGTCACATCATGTTCAAAAACCCAACCTTGCTATTTTCGAGAAGCTTTGGAGAGTTAAAGTACTTTGACCAAAATTTGTGAACTCTTAACATGGCATATTTCCTGCAGCAAATGGAGTCAAGACTCAAAATCTATCGACAACGAATTTGGAAATGTATGAACAGCAAGCTTTGATTATCTTTTCAGGTTTAATATCATTTAGCATTATATTTTTAACACTTCCCCCTTAATGCGCATGCGCATGCGCTTTGACTTCGGATGTCATTCCGTCAATCATCCAAGTACACAGTAATTTCTGTAGTTTGACAAATATTCCTCATTTCAGGCACAATTTTCGTCGCTTGAAACCGTTTTCCAGTTTTAATGATAATCACACCGTTCATTAGGTCAACTATTTCGAAGGCAAACTCAGCTGTGTGGCTGTTTAAATTAATATGGAAGGAAATTTAAAAAAAATTACTGCGGTTTCACTCGGCTGCGCTCGCGAGTCCCAGTATTTAGACCACTGTGAAGACGAATATCGTTGTCAGTAAGATTACAGACCACCACTGTCGATTCCTTACATTCATGATGTTAATTATGAAAGTTAAGTCTAAAAGTTTAAAAGCTAGTTAAAATAATTTCTTGTTCTTAGTGGTTTGATTGCGATCGTTTTCTCGAAATTTTTGAAAAAGTTTATTCTTTGGAGTAGGGTAGTTGTACCGAAAATCATACAGCGTTTAGCACACAGATGATAAACCAAAGTAATGACAGGAACAAAATTTTCAAAGAATAAATGAAAAGTTATGGGAAAACAGTGTAGTTGATTCCTTTGACAGGTGGTGTGAAAACATTTCTTTTGTCATTTAAAACAGCCTCTAATAATTGTTTCGTTTAGTAAGCAGGCGTTGCCCTCGATGACAGATATATTTCAATTACACAACTCGTGATTGACATTAATTCGGTACAATGATTTAAAAGTGTTAGCTTATCATATTTTAAACCAGTTTTCAGAAGAATCAGTAAGAGAGGGAAGTCGTTTTTATAATCGGTTCGCTTACCCGAATCTGCTAACCTGAAGTGAGAAACCTATTTTTACGACCCGCCATGGAAGTAAGTTTCCAATTATGTTTTCTTGAATTTTGCCGCGTGATTAAGACTTAATTTGCGTTTTCTGATTTCGAATTACAAATGCATTTCTCTTAGATGGAATAATTATTAAGGCTTGGATAATATTATACGGTTTGTGGTGGTCGTCTGAGCTGACCAGTTCCGAGTAAAGAAACAATAATGTCCGAACCAGCTGACATTGCCGTGAAAACCGTATTGGCCCTACTCATCATCGCGAACATCGCTGGTAACTTTCTGGTCTGTCTCGTCCTAAAGAAAAATAGAGATATGAGGTGCGTTAAATATTTGAAAACTCTGCCATTTTATCTCAGAGAATCAACGATTTTTTACATAAGATCCGATGTGATAAAAAAAACTAACCTCTATGACGAGCCAAATATAACTGAATACAAACTTGGATTTTCTTGTCATTGGCTGAATTGTGCACTAAGAGCTACCTGACTTGTGTTTACAATTAATAAATAGGATTCCCTTCAACTATCTACTTGTCAACCTGGCGGTCTCAGACATCGTGTTTGCGGTATTTATAGCACCAGTTCTTATTTTGGGAGAGACCTTCATCCATCCAGACGAAGCCATCGGCTCAGTGCCGTGTAAGATACTCACAGGTGGTAATGTGGAATGGATTGGAGCATACTCGTCCTCCTTGACCCTTGTTGTCATATAAGTTGAACGCTTCTACACTGTGGCAAGTGCTGACAGCAATGCAACACTTACCATGTGGAAAGTAAAGGTTTGTGAACAGAATTGTATGTAACACAATGGCATCAAATTGATACAGGTTTAATTTCCAGTTCGTGTTCCTCTAATTTGTATTAATTAAATCTTGTTGGTTGCGAAAAAACTCCTGATCATGATGAGCATGTAGTTTTCTGACCCTCTACGTGTTATTTTCAGATGATTATCCCCACTTGTTGGATCATTGGAGGGCTTTTTAACATACCAATTTTATTGATTACCACGTTTGATAAAACAACGGTCAACTGTAAGTGGAACTGGCACGAGTGGTGGATGGGTGTACTAAACGACACCATACTGCTGGTGCTGTATGCTCTAATTCCTCTGTTAGTGATGACTTTTGTATATTCAAAAGTTGTTTACATGTTGTGGTTCAAACGAAACGAGCAAAATGAACTCACCTATCAACAAAAGGTAGGACTTTGCGTTAAATTGATCTAATGTTAGTTTTCTCAGTGGCGTTTTAGAGGAAGTTAACTCGATTTATTGATCCGGGGTCCGATACAATGCTACTCTTTAGTGGGCAAATGATTAAAATGGTAAATAATCAATATCGTAACATCATTGCAAAACAGGGCATGATTTATGCCACGTGGCAAAAAAATTAAACCTAAATGCAGTGTGCAAAGGCTCAGTATCACTGCAGTAGAGTTATTATGACGACCGGATAGGTTTGGCAAAGTTTTTTTCTGATCCTGAGGATCTCCCAGGAGCTCAAAAGCCTGTCAAGGCCAAAAGCCACTATCCTTTCAGTTTATTCTTGCTTTTGTCTTTGCAGGGAGTCCTAAAGGTGAGGAAACGAGTCACACTGAGTGTGATCACTGTCAGTGCCATATTTGGAGCTTGTGAGATCACGGGATCGCTGATTTACCTCCTAAGCCACTTTGACATCTTCAGATTTGGCTCAGTCCCATACATCGTTTCTGACACCTTGATTATGTTCAACTCTGTTGTAAACCCTTACATCTATGCTCGGCTGAATGAGCGTTTCAGACAAAAGCTCAGATTATTGTGCTCTACTAGCCACACATCCAGGGTACAGAGCTCATGCTAGCATGGAATTGCGCGTACTACCAACGTCTTCAACGAGGAAAAACTTGGCGGTTTCATAGTGTAAACGTTGTAATCGGATGAGAAAATGGAGCTCTAAAGTTCTTACTTTAGAGCTCCATTTTATCATCCGATCACAACGTTTACACTATGAAACCGCCAAGTTTTTGCTCGTTGAAGACGATAATTAGATAATCAGCTACCTGTTTAACACCAGAAAACGTATGCTTATTTACTTTAGTTGCCATATGGACTTGTATTTAGATGTAAAGATTTTTAGGTGTCTGTGATTCGACTGAAAATAAATAATTGACACAAAGATTTAAGTACAAAATAAAACAACAAAAACCACTACAAAACAAAATCAAATAGCATCAAACTCAATATGTGGCGTAACTAGGTTTGGCAGTAAAACTCTTAAATAAAAGCAACAAGGCACTTGCAAAAACTAACGAAATGAAAGAAATAGTTGAAATCAACTCGCAATGAAAATTATCCAAAGAAAGCAACTCACATACTGACGAAAATAAATAGCTACCGGCGTTAGGTAATCCTTACATAACCTCACGCAAAAACGCTTGCGTTCATGAGGTCATAGAGCCAACCAAAGCTTGTACCATTAGCTAAATTTCTTTGTTCTTACAATTAACAAAGATACGCAGAATGAATTAGAATGATAGTAAGTTTTTAAAAGAAGATCAAGAAGGTGAAGATAAGGGCCCCAGTTTAAGTTAAAAATTACACTTTAGTCTAATTACTCTACTTATAAATGCTGTTGAGAAGTTTTTCACCTAGAAGTTAAAAAAAATAATTGATAAAATTCTACCGTAAAACCATCTTCCTTTAGAGACTTTCCTCACTTGAGGCACATTAAGGATTTGAACCGTCAGTTTTTCTTTGAGGAAATCCATTGTTAATTTTGGTACATCGATTATTAAATTCTTACTAAAATCTTGGAAGTGCATGTTTGAATACTCACTTCCTCAGGAATGCAATACCCTACAATTTTTTAATTATTTGAAACTTTTTGTCCCGCCTTCAAAGGTTAGTTCAGTAATTAACTTCCTGTTGTAGTTCCAGTGACGCTCCATATTCAATAAATATTCTGTTGATTTCTTTCCATATTCAGCGGTTCATCTCAATTTTGACTGGTGGATGGCACCATTAGCCCTTTCCTCATAAACACGACGCAATTCAGTTTTCATGCATGAGAGTATGGGATTGTCAATCACCGAATCTCCATCATAATCATTTTTGTTTTGGGGTTATTTACATACTCGTGCCTCCTGCATTTGACTGGACAATTTGTTGTGATCAAATTAACTACCTTCCATCGTTCTTAAAGAATTGACAAATTTCCAGAGGCTGGAACCTTTTTCCATACTTTCAATTCTCAAGAAAAGTCTAATAAACTCTTTTACTTCTACCAATAAAAATGATGCCCGCCCCTCTCCCCTCCCCAAAAAAAAGATATAAAAACTAGATTTCTGAAATTGTTTCAACTCTTACAATTAAATATCCACGCCACCCTGTTTTGGTTTCACGTTTATGGTACAACTTTCATACCGATTTTATAAAATGAAAAATCATTAAAAGGTAAAATCTATTCTCTAACGTTATGTTTCCTAGTCATGGTGACTAAACGATCCTTCTTCCAAACTGTAGTACATTTAATTTTGAGAACGGGCGCCTGCAAATTTCTGAACTTTTATCGCTCGATATCCCATTTCAAGTTTTCTTTTACTTTTTTTCTAGACCCATCAACCCAATTCCTTCCTTTCGTCTGATTACAACAAAATGAAGCAAAAAGACAGGTTTTATGAGAATAGTTAATAGATTTGAAATTGGCTTTTTTTATATAAAATGTTTTTTCAAAGTTATTTTGTTTAATCAACATGTGAATTTTCTATGTTGTTCTTCCTTGTTTAATGTAACTTCTAAAGGAAAAATGCCACTTCTAAGCTATGTTTGAAAACGTCAGATAAACAAACTAGTCTTTCATGTAGAAAACATATTAAAAAGATTTGTTTGTTTTAAATCAATTGAGACGACGACCGCGACGAGGACGTGTCCAAAAAAAAAGCTAATGGTAGAGCTGTTTGATAATTTTTACATTTCTTAGCTATTCTCTGCTAAACAACAACGTGAAATCATCAAAATGTACGTGGTCTAAGAACGGAGGCTGCGAAGAAAATAATTTAAGTTTCCATTTGGAACTCAACGCTGGCCACATACGTTTTGTTAAAGTTGGGGTGTGGTCATCCTAAAAGATTAGCACTCTCCCATCAAGGATTTCCTCAAGAGCAATTGGGATAGCATATTCACTTTTAAACACTAGTTATCACGATTGCATAAGTATAGCATGTACATATAAGTTTTTAAATAACATGCAACCCGTTTAATCAACGTTATTAATCTTAGTAGAGAGTTTGTTAGCAGACCTCTCAAGAAAAAAAAACATTACAGTCTTCACCAAGTTCAAAATTCCAGGTTATTGAATATATTAGCAATTTTGTCCGTAGATAAGGTGTCTTTTTTTTCTCCCTTTTGAATATTCCATTCATGTTTTAATGTTATTTCAAAGACAGAGATCTTTGTTTTAGAGATTTGCAGAACAAAGTCCATCAGTTTGAGAGACTTTGCACCTGACGCCTTTGATGAACTCCGCAGTCTAAACGAAATTTGAGTCATTGTTACTTCGATTAGTAAAAACTCATTTCAATAAAGTGAATCATACGTTGACCCGCGGATGAAATACAAGTAAAGAAACATTCCCCGTAAATGAAATGCAATTAAATTGTTGAAATGAAATCTGAAAAAAATTCAGGCGTCGACGTAATTCAAACCTGTGCTTTCTGTCAACTAGTTGGGCACCACAAATAACTGAGTTACGAAGTCTGAATTTTTTTCAGTATTGCAGGCTAGGTTTCTTTCAGACTATAAACCTTACCTAAACTTTCAAAGGGTCCGGATATAGTTAAAAACCCGCATCTCTCTATGGCTAATTTTCGAAGCATCTGCATTACGATTTTATTGCTGACGAAGGTCATTTTGGTGATCAGTAAGAGTTTGTGTATGGAAAATGCATGGATGTATCGAATGTATAGAAAACAACTTCGAAATTGTCTTGAGCCTCCTTGACGAATTCATCCTGTGTTTTTATGCTACAAAAGCAGCCCCTGGTGTCCGCTGCATTTCGCCGAAAAATGAACTTTCTAGCTGTTCTGATCTGATGAAAAACAAAGTCGTCCAAGTGTGTATTTGGATTCTGGGACTGTCTGCTCTTGTTGGAAATCTCTTTGTCATTTTAATGCGAGCATTCGCGAGGGAAGATTACAAGATACATTCATTTCTTTTAACGAACCTTGCGATATCAGATCTTCTAATGGGCATCTGTCTGCTTAATATTGTTATAAAAGACATACAATGGCAAGGCGAGTACTTTAAACATGAGTGGAGGTCAGGAATAACGTGTGCATTGACTGGGGTGCTGTCTATGGTATCAAGTGAAGTGTCCGTGCTCATCTTAACACTCATTACCATTGATAGACTAGTCTGCATTGTTTTTCCCCTTCAAATGAGACGAATGAATCGTGCGGTTGCTTACCTTATTGTGGTGGTCATAGGGATCTTCGGGACGCTGTTATCTGTTATTCCAATGTTTGGGTTGAGTTATTTCCATGACGATAAAAGACACGTATGATTTTATGGAAAGTCTGCAGTTTTTCTTCCTCTCCAACTATCGTCAGATCGTCAAGCTGGGTGGGAATATGCTTTGCATCATTTGTTTATATCCTCACTGCGTATATAGTTACGTTCTTCTCTGTCAGAAGGGTCGCAAGGAATATCAGGTGAACGAAAAAGAGCAGAGATTCGCAAATGGCGAGAAGGATGATGTTTATCATTCTAACTGATTTCCTTTGTTGGATGCCTGTCATTGTAATCGGAATCTTGTCACTTATCGGAAAATTTCGTGATCCTGGAAGGCAAGCTTACGTGTGGATTGCCGTGTTTGTCCTCCCTGTAAACTCATCTATAAAATCTATACTGTACACATTTTCTACTCCTTCGGTGAAGAGAAAAGTGACTAAGCAGAAGGACAGGTTAAGAAGTTATTTTCAAAGAAGAGTACATCAGCAGGTAATTCTCATTTTATCCAATATTTTTAACGATGCTAATACGAGTGTACCATGTTTAAACTAGTGAAGGTATTCGGCTGTCCATAAAACATACTTGCACCATGCAGTTTCACGTTGGTTGGCATTTTTGTCTTCTGACTGGTCATTGTCATCAATTATAGGAAAGAAAGAGTTATGTTTTTTGCGACCGGAATGACAAAAATGGGTGCAAATTTGTTAATAGATAATGAGGCACCCACTGCTGCAGCTAAATAGCTAGAATCTGTTCAATCTCCAGTTTCAGTGATATAATAAATTATAAAATCTCAATATCACTGTGCATAGAATAAGTAGGCAAAGGAGTTCAGTTATCATAATTTATCTATTTAGCTTCGCCTGACTAGAATACGATTTATACATGAATGAATACATTAAAAAAAAAAAATACTAAGCAGGGAGACCACTACAGCCTAGCAAATTACAGCGGATCCCTCGCTAATTATTTTTATAAAAAATACTAAAATAATAATAACTAAATCAACTAATATGTTAGCAGAAAACTTAGGAGGATACAAACGAAAGTACAAATTGCTAGAAGCAGCACGTTGGCGGGCATTGGAGAGACCTCGCTGTTTGCACCTAGGACAGATTGTTCTCCAGGTTCTCATGTCGTCAACGCCGTACAGGTTCAGAGCCTTTTTGTAAAATTGAAGTAATAAACTTTTAAAAGAGGCTAGAGAGATGTGACTTGTGCATAGAAGAACATTCCACGTGCGGCACGCGACTATGAAAAATTAACGTTGAAAGGTAACAGTTCTACTTCGCTTAGGAATATAAGTAATAGCACTGCTGCTCGATGACCTAGTAGATCTCGTAAATTGCTTGCTTACAGGTAGAGCTCCACCATCTATGAAAACTAAGTTA